GAAAAGGATAACCAAGGAATGCTATGAACAACTCTATGCCCACATACTTCATAACCTAGATGACACGATGGACCAGTTTCTAAAAGACATAAGCTGCCAAAACTCAGGAAGAAATAGACAATCTCAAGAGCCTACATTTATTTTAAAAAATTGAATCAATAATTAATAACCTTTCAAAACGTAAAGCACCAGGCCCAGATGGGCTCACTGGTACATTCTACCACATGTTTAAGGAAGAAATTATACAATTCTCTACAACTCTTTCCAAAAATAGAAGCTGAGGGAATATTTCCTAACTCATTCTATGAGACCAGCTTTACCCTCACACCAAAACCACACAAATACATCACAACTAGCCTCTGCAGGTAAAGAACCAATTTCTACCAACCAGATAGAACTTCTTGAAAAGCTTTTACGGCTTTCTGAAAGAACATCCTCCTCTCAGGACATCATGTTTTATAGCTGGCCAGTCACTGAACAATAAGAGAAAGCCACACTGGAGGCCTTGAAAAGGACATATACCTAACTCTATAAGAAAAAAGAATCTAGTTTCTGCAATCTTCCTTTCCTAAACCAGCCTTCTCAAGTTGTGTTCTATCCAGGTTTGGGCAAATTCAGTAAGTAGACAAGAAAATAGCTAAGAAGAGAGGCCATCAGGAGACTCAAAGAAGGACCGGCCCATGGCTCACTTGGGAGAGTGTGGTGCTGATAACACCAAGGCTGTGGGTTCAGATCCCTATATAGGGATGGCCGGTTAGATCACTTGGGAGAGTGCAGTGCTGACAACACCAAGTCAAGGATAAAGATCCCCTTACCAGTCATCTTTTTAAAAAAAAAAAAGGAAGACTCAGAGAGCTGTGCAGGAGAGTAATGGACCACATCACTCCTCACAAGGGCAAGAGAACACTCTGGAGAGAATCCTTGTGGAAGTGAGGCCAGTGCTATCTGTGTGTCCACACAGAGGATAGCCAGGCAGAAGGCTATCAGATGGAGAAGGCTGTCCCAACAGAACCTTCCAGAATAACTCTAAGAGTCAAGTATAGGGAAATTGCTCAAAGCATTTAGCAAATAAGGGTCAGACTGGCCCAATAGGACAAATAACTGTGATCTATTCAAGTGACACCTCAGAACTCCATCTAAGAAGCAAGTGGCCTTTAAGTATACGAGATGCAAAAGCACTTCCTTCCTTTAAAACATCCAACAGCGAGATATCTGGCAGCTAACTCTCCATTCCCGAACCCACGCAAGGTTGTGTCTACCACAATGAATGGAACTTATAATTCCGATCTTCTCGTTGATCAGGTAGACTCCTAAAACTACTGGAACAAGAATAAACCCCAGAACAACATAAAACCTTAAAGCTAGTTGCTTTTGTACATGGCCCAATGCTCAATACTTCTTGTCCTCCTTCTCTTCCAATCATCCCACTGTACCTCCTCAATATGTAACTGATAATCCTGCTCTGCCATCTCTCCCCCACCATCCCAATCCTCAAAAGCTTCAATGAATGCAGGACTGTGAAATTCATTTCTGTATTTCTCATGAAACCGACACATGGCTTCACACACAGCACGAGCTCAATAACTCTGTGAGAAATAAATATATTACTCCCACAGTGTCTATCAATGCAGTATCTAAGCTGCCTGGAGTAGCTAGGCAACGCTGGGGATTAGCCCGGAACCAGGCAGTGACGGCTGGGGACATGCAGTGGAGCTGCTTTCACTGCCACAGGACTTAGAAGAAAGCTGAGTTTCTTTGAAAGAAGATATCATGAGGAAGGCAAAGAATAATCAAGTGACTGATATTTGTGACTGTGATACAAAGGGAAGCAAATGAATGACAATGTCCTTCATTCTTCCTGAATGTGAAAAAACTAGACAACATGCTCCAAAACAATGGAAAGCCAGAAAGAAATGGTAGTGCCACATTGCACAATCCACCAACCCCCCAAAAAGAGACACCTGGGTCCCTTTCCTCATTATTCACTTTGTTTATTCACCGTATTCCTGCTTTGTGGCAGATACTGACATGGCACAAGGACATGGAGATGAGAGAAAAGAGCTCTGCCTTTAAAGAGCTTGCAATCTAGCAGAGAAAGAAATATAAACATGTAATGAAATGTTGTGAATGCTATGACAGCACAAAGACGAGATGATGAGAGGAAATGTCAGGTGTGGCTTGTCCAGAAGCTGAATGGTGATAGATAGCAAGAGGTTCACCAGGCCACACAAGATGGGCAAGGAACTCCTGATGAAGGGAGGAGAATGGGCTGTCGGGAGGAGGAAGCCAGACTCAAATGGCCTGCAAGAAGACCCACTGAGCACTTCAGCATGGTCTCAGACAGGGGTTGGTAAGAGAAGTCTCAAAGTCAAATCATAAATGGGCTTGTATTCCAGGCTAAGGCACTTAGACTTGTCATGGAGGTAATGAGGCTTACTGAAGTGTCTGGGATTATAAGGAACCACTGAAGAGTCTGGGAATAACAATGAGCAAGGGAACAATGAAATTATGTTTCAAAAAGATCTGGGAGCATACAGACAAAGGATTAGAGGGAAGAAGAATGAAGGCAAACAGACTATTATTTCAACATTCCAAGCACCTTACCTATCACAGGTAAACAAAGAACAAAAGCAGTCATAATGAAATGTCAAAGATGGATAAGAAAGATTTGAAGGAGGCAGAATCTCTAGGTCTTAATAAAGGCCTGGATTTAGAATGGGGGTCAAAACAAAAGCAAGGGAAATCAGGTTTCTGATTTTGGTTACCAGTTGGCTTTACTGGTAACTTGCATCAGAGCAGTTTCCAGGGCATGGTAGGAAGAAAACAATACCACAGCAAGTGAGGAGACATGGAATATTAGACAGGAGAAACAATGACTATGGGGCTAGGAAAGGATGAAATCTTGCAGCTATCAAATACTTCATCTCACAGGGATCTTTTAAGAGTTACTAGGAGAAACTTAGTGATACTGAGTTGCTCTGGAAGAGACAGAAAGCACTAGACTGTATAAATATATGGAACTATAAAGGAAGGCTGGATAGTTCAGCTAGGATAGTTTTGGTAAGGTTTCATTGTCCTGTTATGTGGATACAGTTATGATATATATTTTTTTTTTTTGTCCTTTTTGAGACCGGCCGCACCGCACTCAGCCAGTGAGCGCTGCGAGCACACCGGTCATCCCTATGTAGGATCCGAACCCGTGGTGGGAGAGCTCCCGCGCTCCCAGCGCCGCACTCTCCCGAGTGCGCCACGGGCTCGGCCCTACAGTTATGATATTTTACAAGTTCCAAATGGCCTTGTGTTTCTCTGCCCTAGATTCTCATCCACGAAACAGGAAATTAAAACCCAACCTTTCTTTCTTAGAGGCTACACTGCTTCTTCCTTCTGGGGAAATGAACTTGATCAGCTCCAAGAAGGGTCAACACTCTTCTCTCAGAAACAGTCAAGCTGTTACCTAACGAACAACTGAAAGTAAAAGAACTATTCAAAATAGTGGTTCACACATTTGGTTAGTACCCAAAATTTGAAAAATGCTGAAAGGGATTTAATCTTCAGCTCTTGGTCTAACAGTAATAGGACTATTTATAGTAATTATAGAAATTAACAAGAAGTAGTGATTACTGCAACTAACATTTATTAAGTACTTTGTAAGCACGCTCTAAATACTCCATCGTATCTTGTTTAATCCCCTTTGAATAACCCTGACATACACACCATTACATTATTCCCAATTCTTGTCACTGATGGAGGACCAATGAAAAGGAACTGATTTTAATCTATTCAGTCCTTATGCCAAGAATCTAGCTGATTGCTGTTGGTAGAATTACAGGTGATTTTTCTCTATCTCTATTATCTATAATGTTGCTTCACTATCTTCTTTATTCAAACCAAATGCTCTTTATTATACATAAAAAAACTAAATGCTTTCCTTAAATAAAAGATCCCTATGAGCTCTTGCTTCTTCTTCTTCACTTCCCTGGCAGGAAATAGTAGACGAAAGCTGAGGTACCAACGTCATCAGCTGGGGCACAGGACAAATAACTGGAAACCAGAAGAAATTTGATTTCTGATAGCCAAAGCACTACTAAATGGGAGCCAAGCACCAATGTTTCAAGGTATAGAAGCTACACAAGCCAAGAAGACTGAACAATGCCAACTTGGGACTCATAGAGCAGCCTGAAGAAGCAGGAACTTAAGGAGTGCCAAAGGCAGACCACAAAGAATGCAAAGTGGCAAGGCATTAGGGGGTGGGGGGTGGGGTGGCAGAGAATGGAGGAGATGATGGGACAAAATCTCAGAAGCAGTGCAGTGGTTCCTAACTATACTTGAGTCACAAGCTACCTTGAGAAATTGAAAAAAACTCCCTCCCTAAAAAATTCACGTTTACACAAAATTTTGCAAACAATTTCATGGGATTCACAGATGCCGCTCAGAAGCAGTGCAGTGGTTCCTAACTATACTCGAGTCACAAGCTACCTTGAGAAATTGAAAAAAACTCCATCCCTAAAAAATTCACGTTTACACAAAATTTTGCAAACAATTTCATGGGATTCACAGATGCCTTTAGGGGTGGATGGATCTCAGATTAAGAATCCATAATAAAGCATGGGCCTAGCATTTATAGTATGTTACTGTATGGGTGTTAAGTATCTCGAGAAGGAGACACAAAACACTAGTAATATCAGTTGTCTCTGGGGGAAGTACTAGATTTTTCACTGTATAGCCTTCTGGATTTTGAACAATGTGAATGAATAAAGGATTCAAAAGTAAATTAATAAAAGAGCTCTGCCATAACCAATGGTGCCTTCAAATGGCTGAGACTACCTAGTAAATGTCCCTAACCTATTCTAAGAAAAAGAGTATAGAAAACACTGACAAACCTAAGCCTATGGGAAAAGGTATGAGAAAAAGCCTTGAGCTTGGGATTGCTGCTAAAGGTATTAAATGTTATAAACAACAGATGCAAGCCACTGTGCCTGTGTGCAGAATCATCAGTCCTATGATATAAAAATACTCAAAATACATGGGGGAAAAAAAAAGAGTACATCAAAAGTGCATCAGTTAAGGAAGAGAATGGGCTGCTACCTACATCCACAGCCCCAAGAAACACCTACCTCATCAGGCGTATCCTTTGCATCAGGCTGTGTGGCAGCCGCCCGGCGGGCAAGATTTCCAGCGCGAATGTTGCTGAGGTTGATCTGCCTCTCAGGAGGAGGCCCACCACGAGGCTGTCCTCGGACAATGATGGCACACCCTGAAAGGACCTAAGCAGGGAAAAAAGAGAAAATTAGTGGTCTGGAGGTAATATCACCATGATGTAGGCTGTTCACTACTGCATCCCCAACATCTAGAACAGCATTTGGCACACTGGAGGCACTCAAATATTTGTTGAATGACTAAATGAACAGGATTGTTTTTAATTTTATAAGAGAAATACCTTCAGAAAGTCTTGGCCAGAATCCAAAATGATGGGCCCAGAAATACAAATAGGAATTAAACAAACAATAGAAAAGTCATAAAATAAATAGACTGGGGTAAAAAGGCATGTGAAACATGGAGATTAATGACCTTTGTAATTTCATCCCAGCAAGCACCATCATTTGTGTTCTTTTCAATTATTAAGAAGTTAGTATCTCCATCCACACTTTCCATTCTAGGATTGAAGCAAACAACAGAAGGCTTAAGAAAAGAGGAAGCTGAAGAAAGAAGACCTACACACCATCCCGGAAGAACTGAGCATGCCCTAGGCTAATGTGGAAGCATTTATCCACAGCCCAGTGCTTCCGCTTCCCTTGCAGAGGCCGAGAGAACTACAGTAGTACTCTAGAAAGCCATGCCCTAGATGATTGAGACAAAAGTTTCTAATAAGCACCTTAAGGCTCCCAAGCACAGTAGGTCCTTTCATCTCTCTAATCAAAGATGCCAGGCACAGAAACCACTTGCAACTATGAAAAGAGCTCTGAAGCTCACAGGTATTTGACTTTAAATTATTTGCAGGGGAGAGAAGAGAGGACTTCAAGTGACAGAAGGGATCAAGGGGCATACAGAAAAAAATGAAACATGCTATTCAAATAGTCTTTGCTCAGTGAGGTATGATATAATGAACAGGTAGGCTCCAGCACTGACTTCACAAGATCTGAAAGACTCTTAATTTCATGCTTCAAAACAAGAAATACCTGCTGGAAAGGTTAGTAGATAGAAGGTTGTAAGGTTCTGTCAATGTAGAACGCTGCTTAGACAAGACCATGGAATTCTCTGTAAAGGAATAATACTTGTAAAGGAAGCTGAATCAAAGGAAGAGAGAAAGGAGTATGAAGGGAAGCGATTCCTAAATATAGCCACTTTGCTGACATTTCTCCCTCACCTCTCCACCTTCACTAATGTTTTAAGTCATGAAACATTAATATAAATACACAAGTGCATTTAAACCTACATGTATAAGTTAAAGAATAGGAAAAGGCCACAACTGAGTGACCACCAACCAAGTTAAGAAGTACAACATTGCCAGAACCTTGGATTCCCTCTGTGAACACCCCTCCCTACTTGCAATCCCTCTTCCCAATTCCCGCTGTTACCCTGACCACTGTGATAATACGTCTCTTGCTTTTCTGTACAGTTCATCTGAGTATACATCCCTAAGCAATATGGTTTCATTCTTCCTACTTCTGAACTCTGTATTAAGTGAGTCTACTGCATGTACCCACCAATGACTTGTTTCATTTGCTGATTTTGTTTGGTGAACCTCTTCCATGTTGATTTGAAACACCACAGTTCATTCATTTGCACAGGTGCATAGTATTCCATGGTATAAACATACCACAATTTATTTATCCACTCTACTACATTTTTATGGAAACTCTATCAAACAAGTAAATACACACATTCCAATTTTTTTTTTTTTTTTTGTCTTTTTTCGTGACCGGCAACGGATCGCAACCCTCAGTGTCGCGCCCGTACCGGACCGGGACCGGCAACGGGATCGCAACCCTCGGTGCTGCCCCCGCACCTCGCTCAGCCAGTGAGCGGCCGGTCTGTATGTGGGATCCGAACCCTCGACGGGAGTGCTGCCGCGCTTCCCAAGCGGCGCACTGTAGCAGTGCGCCACTGGGCCGGCCCCACACATTCCAATTTTTAAAAATTAGCGTTCTGATTAATATCTTAATATGCCCAACACCTTAAGCACATAGACCTTGGACTAAGTCACTCTTCCCTGACTATACCATAAACAAAGACTGTCTTCCTAATCCAGTACCAAGTCATGCTCTTCATTTTTATCCTTTCTGATCAACTTATCAGCAATTAAACTCTAAAACTTCCAACCAAACAACCTCGGTAACAGCCTATCCTGAGAACCCATGCCCTGGGTATTGTCCCATTCTAAAAAGACAAGCTCTCAAACAAAACAAAGCCAACAAAAACCAGGTATACCACAGCAGAGGATTCCTAAAGTTTCTGAATGAGAAGGGCCAAGAAAGAAAAGGAAAAGAGCTTAGATCTGACCCATTTGTAGTCAATTCTGTCTCATAAGTGGCAGAAACAAAACACACAGCAAGAATAACATGCTGTAGAATACCTACACTTGACATCATTCATGCACAAATTCCAAATGGGGCTGAGGAAAGCTAAGCTACCTACAGCACACAAACCAGATCATCTGTCTCCAGTGCCTTCTCCTCAATTTTAGTCAAATTTTCACAAAAAGTAATAAAGCACTCCCAGGAGACCCAGAACCGCTTGGTAAAGCCTAGATGGAAAAGTTAAGTCCCATTTACAAGAAAACTCACCTTAGTTGACTAAGGTAAACTCTGATGAACGTTGACCCAGCCTAGGAAACTATCCTTGTTTCTCCACTGAAAAGCTCAAGAACAGAGTGGCTGATGAGAATGCCCTCTCACTCCTATACATATGAGAAAGGAGTCAACTCTAACGCCTCTGTCTAGTAAACTAGATCCCTGGGGGCAATGGGTCTACAACTAGTATCCTGGCCCCATAAAGGGCTTTGGCAAACAACCTTACACAAAATTATACAGTAATTGAGCTGAACTTGTCTGTACCCCTCCCCTCTCCTTGAATGCTATTCTGAAGACTACTATCAGAACTTCTTTGCATTACTGCACCAAAAATGCCATTCAGACAATAGTCAATGCTTGAATTAATATGAGAGAGATGATTTTTACTTCATAGGCTGCTCTATACCTTTTATACTATTAATATACAAATGCAAGCAGCAGTCACCAATTCAACTTCTTAAGCAGCAAGAATAGATTCCTTGTGGCAGGCATTGCTATTTCTATTCCTCCAGGAGGAAAGGACTGACGTGTATGCTTCTTTCCTCCGCAACTCTCTCCCCCGTCATTTGGCCATTGCCTTGGTGGAGAGGTAGGACAAGACTGTGTCTGCAGACAATTATCGAAGGAAAAGACCTGTTTCTGTTACAGAAGAACTAGTTTCCCTCCCACTATCCATAGGAACTGAAATTGTTCAAAACGCACTACACCTCCTTCTCGCTCTCTCCATTTCATCTTCCAAGCACTGTTGAACTCCCTCCCCCGCCTTACTTGTCAACAGTCTTTTTTTCCTTTCTGAATTATTATTATTATTTTATTCACTGATTGATTCATTTACCCATTTATTAATTTAACACAAACTTACTGAGTGCCTACTATGTACCAGGCATTGTTCTAGGCAAGCAGCATATTTCGGTAAAACAAAACAGACAAAAATTTCTGCTCTTGGGGAGCTGACATTCTAGTGTGGTGGACGGGGGGATTCAGATAAACATTAAACATCATAAGTAAATAATAGATACCATTTATCAGAATTTTAATTTCAGAAGAATAATGTTAAGATTGAGAAGAAATTGTCATGGGTAATTGGTCTCCCAAAACTGTACTGATTCATGTTGAAAACTTTCATGGATGCAGTAATTATCCTTAATTGCTAATTTATAGGGCATAGAAAGCAAATCAGATGGTTACTGCTTTATCCAATTTTATTAATAAAATGACATGTTCTAGAGAAATGATCTTAGGACTACCTGATACAGCAGGAGGTTTGTGAAACCAGCTGTCACAATGAGTCAGTTTGATTGAGGTTATGGATTAGACATTTCTCAGCTCTGCCGATAAAGGTTACAGAGGGACGTGGTGTGATTCAAAGGGCCTGGCTTCAGGGCACAAGTCAGACAGTTAAAAAGGCTGAAACAAGGCAGCTGAGAAGAAAAATAGGGACTCAGACTACTCAAACCCACTTATAGGTTTACTGAGAGATTTACCTACCGTGAAACACTATATGGGCAACCATTAAAATGTTGCCCAGCAACAGGACCGCCATATTAAATCTTCACTAGATTCTGATAAATGATTCGGTATGTTTAACTCTTTAATCCCCAGGCCACTGACATGAGATGACAGAAAACTTCTTATACAAAAACCTTGCTACACTATAGTTAGGGCAAAGAAAGAGAGGGCAGAGAAATTCATAAGCATGTCAATAAGCCAACATTTTTCCCCAGCCCAAGAGCAAAAATCATCTTGGCCTGAGAACGGCATCTTATCAGCCCTGCAAGAAAGACTAGCTTAACAGGCATACCTGAGAGACTGGTTTCAGGAACTCCCACAGATACCAAAATCTAAGGATGCTCAAGTCTTTGATATAAAAGGGCATAGTATTTGCATATAACCCACACACATCCTCCCATGTACTTTAAATCATCTCTAGGTTACCTATAACTCCTAATACAATATAAACACTATGTAAATAGTTGTTATACTCTATTGTTCAGGGAATGGTGACAAGAAAAAAAAAGTCTGTACAGATGCAATTTTTTTTCTGAATATTTTTTTTATCTATGGTTGGTAGAATCCATGGATGCAGACCCCACAGATACAGATGGCCAAATGCATATAACAGGTATACTATAACAGTAATAGCTGCCAATTCGAAGAACCAATATAAAGAATGAGGGCAGACATCTGATGATGAATATTACAAAAAGAAGGCCCACAACAAATCCACACATTTATGGTCAACTGATTTTCAACAAGGGTGCCAGGATAATTCAATGGGGAAAAAGTAGTACCTTCAACCAAAACCTGCTGGGACAACTAAATATCCATATGCAGAAGAATGAAGCTGAACCTCTACCTCATACCATATATAAAAGATAACTCAAAACGGATCAGAAATCTAAATGTAAGAGCAATGTAAGAAGAAAATATAGGTGTAAATCTTCAAGGCCTTACATTAGGTGATGGTTTCTTAA